GAAATTCAAAATTGTGTTCTTCATGTCTCAAAAGTTTGATATATATTAGATTTATTTATAGCTCTATTCTTAATATAGTTATTTTAACACGAAATTGGACTTTTTCTGAAATAACATGGCAAATTTTACTTCCTTGTACGAAGTAAAAAGGAAGTATTGTAATCGCGAAAAATTTCAGGTATCATATTTCAAAGAAAATATTAATTTTGACTGCAAATCTCGAATGCCATTCAAACGATGTTTGTTTGCATGACATCTGTACGTAAGGACAAAATAAAATACTCTTTTCCTTCAAAAAATTATAAAACTGCTTTAAAATTAATTCTGATGAGAATTTTTCGTGGCGTCTGTACGAATGTATGTACGTACGTATCTTGCATAACTCAAAAACGAGTAGCCTCAGAACGTTGAAATTTTGTATACAGGACTGTTATAACATGTAGATGTGCACCTCGTATTTTGGTTGCAATCGGCCACACCAAACGTATATAAATATATTTATATGTATATCCACTCTGTTAACCGGCTCAGTGATCAGTTTCTTTACTCTATGTTTGTAAATTATACATTTTTTGCTTTAAAAATGGTTGAATTATGTTTTTATCTTCCGGTTAAGGATTTTATACCTTTAGTAAATCTGTGTGCAATATTTTTAGAATTATCAGCAATTTTAAAGTTGTTTAATTGCCGCTAAGCCTGTTTTTAATGGTGGCCATTGATGTTTACATTTGAAACAGGAGACTAGTGGATTTGTTGCCAATCTAGAGAAACTTAGCTTTGCAACAACAAAGATAACACATTCATTTATTATTGCCAATTAAATCATGCTTAATTCTTTCTGGCATTTTTTCGAGGAAATAAGTGTTTAAGATTTACTTCGTAATTTTTAATATAGATATTTTGAGTTTTTATGTATTTTTGCCTTCTCGCGAATTGAGAACTGAATTAATTAAATAAGAAATACTCAAGTGTCTGTGAAAAAATGTTTTTTTTTTTTTTTTTTTTTTTTTTTTTTGTTTTGTGCTTAATTTCTTTTATACATCATTCTAGCTTTATTATAGTATTTGAATAGAGCACATGTGGCAACGATTAGATAATTCTATTCTTTAAATGATATAAATTTTGTGCATTATGAGTTATAATATGAACGAAATATACGTTAACTGTTATAATTATTGGATTATATAACAGTTAACTTAGTTTCCATTATAAATTATTATATAAGTTAACTGTAATATAATTATTAATACTATTAAGTGAATCTAGCGCCAGACTGTCGCTATGGTAAACAAATACTAGAGTGAATTTTAAAGAATGCATTTATTCTATTGTGGTTTATGCGCTGTCAGCAAAGTAGATTTAATTCAATCTAATAAGTTTAATAGAAAATGCAAGAAAAATTGCGTATAATTTAATATTCCAATACAAGGAAGTCATGTGGTGTACACGTCAGAATTTTTTTTCCATATTTTAATTCTACGACTCAAATTATGCCCAAATATGAAATGTTATAAAATTTGGTGCGAAATTTACAGAAAAATTCACAAATTAATATGCCGCTTTTTTCCAGTTTGCGCTAAGAATAGTTTATTTGGCGAACTACTTAATTTATGGCAACCTATTTTTCTTTCCCGTGAGAGGAAAAAAATAAACATTTTCTTTCTTTCAAATAATGTTCTTTATATTATATTTTTATGTTATTTTTTTTTTTCTTTTTCGAATTTTATTTTAATTTTTTAAGTTGCATTGTTTCTTTCGAATAACTGCTTTAAAATTTTCTATTTACCCATTCGAATTGCGTAGTTTAAATATAAGGTGCATCGTTTATTTTTTCAAATAATTTCTTTATAAATTTTTCTTTATCAGTTATTATTTTAAGTAATTTTTAGACTTTTATTTAAATTTTTTGTGTTGCATTGTCTCTTCAAATTTTCTATTTATTCATTCGAACTGCGCGTTTTAAATATATTTATTAATATTCATTATCCAGGATTTGATTTTATTTATTTGAATTGCGTTTCTTTCGGAAGAATACTTTGTGTCCCAGTATACGATGCATCTGAAAACTGAATATATAAAAAGAGAAAATACAGTAAAGCACAGTCAACACGCCTTTCAATGTTCCGTTCAGAAATGATATATAAATGATGTATAACCAACATTTTTACTTAGGTTGACTTGCATATATTGCTTTAAAAAGCTTTAACATTCTGCTCATTGCTTTACATAATTTTATGATCCTACATTTAGTTTCTTAAAATGTTATTCGTACTTTAGCCACATATTTATTTTTGAAATCGCAAGAATCTAATATCATAAGATTAAAAAATTTTTAATTAAAACAAAATTCTAAATTTTATGCAAAAATTTATTTTTTTACTTCTTAATGGCTTGCTGTTTTTCTTCAGGCATTCTGCAAGTATATTAAAAAGCATGTAACGTTATGAAACATCTTCATATTTCTGACATTCATTTTAAGTAAAGTTATTTCCTACCATTTCATAAAGACCCAAAAACGGCCGAGCGGTAAAGGCGCTCGACACTGGTTGTTCGCTTCGGGGTTCGAATCCCGGCGAATGGGCTGGTTGCATGGGCATTTACGTGGTTTTTCTCGTAACGTGTATGCCAGCTGGTTTCCCTTAAAAAGTTCTTCACAAAGGTATCCTTTCTTTTAGGACAAATAGCCCTGCTTTGCCGTAACTTAATAATTCAATTCAATCCATTTCATTAGTATTTGGTCAGAGCCTTTATCAGTCTTTAGAGGAAAAGCATTTTTAAGGCATGAAATGAATGGAAAGAATGGTTTCGTCAAGAGGCAAAACATCCTTAGTGGGCATCCACATACATCTTTGAATAAATTCTTGAATATTCAAATAATTCGTTTAAGAAATCATGGGATTCTCCGTTTAGATGATATGATGTTCAATAATGTAATTTGATAATTGTTCAATAATGTAATTTAAATTTATACAAACATACAGTCGAAAAGCAGTCACTCTTCACTTTAATCTGCAATGATATCGTTTTTGTCTTTTCCGTTAGCACAAGCTCAGTTGATGGCATTTGCTGGTTTACACGTCCAAATGTTTTCTCTTTGAACACCCAAATTCCTTGAAGCATTCCCAAAGTATATTCGAAATCATCCAACTTTTCGAAACACCTTGGTCACTCTGACAACCAAATTCCCCTTCAAATTTTTGCCTACTTTTCTCTCTAATTTTCTTCTTTCCTTCTACATTTATTTTTAATGCTCACCACAAGAAAATTAAGATTTTTCGACTGTTACACTTCTATAAATTTTGGATTCTTGTCAATTTTTTTAAAATATCAATTACATCAACTGCATTTCAGTTGAAGACAGCTTTTCATCTTCTAGGCATTTTAACTAGTCTTAAAGTTTAAAGCAAAGTCCAATTTTTTGTTAATTGACAAAGAAATAAAACAGTCCAGCAATGTTTATTCTGTACCACTGAGTAACCCGATTATTATATTGGCTACAAACAATCTAAATCATATTAAAAATAAAATTATCTGAGAAAAATTAATAAGTGTGCATTTCTAAAACGACCCCGGCATTGTGCAACAACTGCTAATGCAATGCTTCCCTTGATGCTACTGATACCGCGTAACTAAGCGAGTAAGACTGCTAAAAACGTGTAAGGCTCCATCTGGTTTGAATGCTGGCGAATGAGGCTAGCTTCATCTGACATGTCATGCCATAACCTCATGTGTATGGTTAATACGAGCCAATCTTCATTAAGAAATTTATACAATCTATAACACGAAAGAAAATTAGCTACTTAAAACATTCTTTCGACGAGGAGTAATGTAAAAATTTATGCTTATATATATAATTTTTAAAGCTGGGGCATGACCCAAACTATCAACGTCCTGTTTGCTTAGAAACATTCTGAAAATAAACAGCAAACAAACTTTCTCAGTTTTAGGCAATTTAATTTAAGTTAAAGCAAAGTAGCAGACGATTACAGGGCAAAGGTAAAAATTTACTCTTACATTTTTAAAAAAAGAAGAAAGAAATTTAAAAATTAAAAATTTGAATAATATCTGTAATTTAATAATTTGAATAATATCATCTGTAATCTGTGGCTCCATTAACAGAAAAGTACTACATTATGATTAACACATAGGAATGTAATTGATTATTTTAGCATGGTAATTTAAACTTTCTGTGTAATTTTTTCTCTGTTTTCAAGTTGTTATTTTATTGCTGATATGCTTGTGTAGGACAGTTAATGTAAGATGGTTTTTAATTGCTGTAAAAGCGCTCCATTAACAGACAAGTACTACATTATGATTAAAACATAGGAATGTAATTAATTATTTTAGCATGGTAATTTAAACTTTCTGTGTAATTTTTTCTCTGTTTTCAAGTTGTTATTTTATTGCTGATATGCTTGTGTAGGACAGTTAATGTAAGATGGTTTTTAATTGCTGTAAAAGCGCTCCATTAACAGAAAAGTACTACATTATGATTAAAACATAGGAATGTAATTAATTATTTTAGCATGGTAATTTAAACTTTCTGTGTAATTTTTTCTCTGTTTTCAAGTTGTTATTTTATTGCTGATATGCTTGTGTAGGACAGTTAATGTAAGATGGTTTTTAATTGCTGTAAAAGCGCTCCATTAACAGAAAAGTACTACATTATGATTAAAACATAGGAATGTAATTGATTATTTTAGCATGGTAATTTAAACCTTCTGTGTAATTTTTTCTCTGTTTTCAAGTTATTTTATTGCTGATATGCTTGTGTAGGACAGTTAATGTAAGATGGTTTTTAATTGCTGTAAAAGCATTTTTCTGTATTGGTTGGTCTAGAATGAAATACAAGTAATCAGATTTATTAAATTAAGACTATATGGAACAGAATGCGATCATATAATACTATTGGTATATAATCTAACATATTTTATAGAAATAATATCCATGTTTTCCTATTTCCATGTGCATTGAACTAAGGTCCTTTATTTTAACTATAGAATTTATTGAAAAAGAAATGAGAAGTTTATTTAACATACCAGATGAAAAGGAAACACGCCTTTGGAATCGTTATAGCAGTAATACATATGAGCATTTGAGTAACAAAGACAGTACAGTCCAGGATGCTGGTCTGTATCAGGGACAGGTAAGTAAGACTCATGAGCATATTTTGATATCTATTCCATGTAAGTATATGAATATGTTTGGGTTGAGGACTTTTTTTTAAATGTAATTGTAGCTCTGTTTTTAGAATAAGTCAAAATGCATACCTGCATGAATTATTGAAATACCTGAAATTTTTACATGAAAATTGAATTCAGTTTGCCTCGTATTTTCTTTTTAAATTTTGTATTTAAGAGGACTTTGTAATGTGTTGAGTAATGTGGGGTGCTCAAAAGCTGAAATTATTACTTGCTTTACAACCTGTAAGACAAATTTTATTTTTCAGATTAATTCTGTGCTGCTATGTCACATACTTTAAAAGGTTATTTTAACTGTGAAATTTGATGGAGGGATAATGGATTTGTTGGATTAATTTTCATTGTTTGGTACTTAAATAAGATTAGATATCTAAGTAGTGAATGCTTTGAGAATGTTTTCTCAAATCTACTGCTTCTTAATTCTGCTTTCTTAACCCTTTGACGCGCACGATAATATTTTTATAATTTTAACAAAAACTGTAGAAATTGAATATTATGATCATAGAGACAAATAATGTGTGAATTTTAAAAAAAAAAATTTACTCTTGTCCATTGTTCTGTGAGTGGTGGTCGCACTGTGAAACCACTGCGTGTCTAGGACTTTGCAACTTACTGAGGTAGTAGGGGAAAAAACATACCTTTCTCCGTGCGGCGTTTCCAATCAATGATGAAATTTACAAATTTTAAAAAAAAGTGTGTAAGAATTGCATTATATATAATTTTTTTACATTATTTTACAAAGTAAATCTTTAGAAAGAATATAGCAGGGAAAATATAAGTACTTACATAATAAGGACGTTTGGCTAAATGGTTTAAAAAAAAACTCAAAAAATAATTATAAAAAAAAAGAAGACTCTTGTGTTTTTACAGTGCCTCTATGCTCTAGTGGGGCAGTGGTCGCACCCTGAAACCACAAAGCAAATGCCATACATATTGAGTTTTTTTTTTTTTTTTTTTTTTTTTTTTTTTTTTTTTTAATATATGCAGTTTAATTATTCCAATTTTTATTGTTCATGATAGAAATCATGATGTGGGATGAATAACTTTTGAAATTTAAAGTTTTTTATATTAATAAAAAGAAGTTATTTTGTCTCATTGAAAACAAATTTTAAAAGGCATCCCAATTTAAAGTACTAAGACCTAAAACATGTATAATTCTGCAGTCATTTTGTGTTATTTAGAATTAAAAGATCAGTAATCAATCGATTTTCACTCAAAAATTTCAGAAAGAAAAGGAGAAAAAAATTCTAAAATTTGTGGTTTCAGGGCACGAACACCGTGTGTCAAAGGGTTAAATCGTCTGTTCACATTTAGAAAATTATGCATATATTCAAATTGTCACTTCTACATCGCTATAAGAAATACTTTAAAATGTTTGGCTAAAACTGAATCTTAATTATATGTTACCTTCATTTAAAAATTGCTAATTCTGCTTTAAATTTTTCCTATCTTGTTCTGTCGGCCATATTGAAAAAGCTTTAAATTTCTTCAAAATTTCGGAAACACCAAAGGATACAGTCCACCACTTAGTTACTCCAGGGTTGCCACGCTACCTGGAAAACCGGAAAAAGTCAGGGAATTCGAAAATTGACCAAAAAAGTCTGGTAATTTAAATATTTTAGTCAAAATCTTAAGTCGGGGAATGTCGTTTGGCGAATCCCCAAAAAGCGAGTTTTGCGCCAATGTTGGAAGTGATGCCTTTGTTAGCGAATTATGTATCGGATGAGCGTCATTCTGGCAGCTGGCATAGAGCCAATTTTTGCAGCTCCAATCAGATCCAATTGGATCTAAAAGGATCCATCCTCCAAAACTTTTTAGAAAGGCAAAGCAAGTTTCCGGCAAGTTTGGTTTCCAGTAACCTCGAGAATCCTAAGACTCACATGTGCAGGTTATGTTAGACTAAAGAAAATACCTTCCTATTCTCGTATACAACAAAATTGGTTTAATCCTAATACAGTCAAAAGTCGTTAATTCGGACACCCATAATCCGGAATGATCTATAATCCGGACCTCAAAGCTACAAACTTTCTGCGCATGCGTCGCGTTCACGCATGCGCACAGGCGTTTACGAGAGCGCGTAAGACCCTTACGGCTGCGAATATGTTTGTGCGCATGCGCGTTTAATGTGTAACGGAGCTATACGCTAAGCTAAAATTATCTAATTCAGTTAATGTTGCAGATTGCGTTGTTCCTTAATCTTCGAATTGGATACGGCTTATTATTTTTTGCACACTGTTAGAGCAATTTCATAAAAGTAAGCTTGAACTTTCGATTATGTCAAGTAGAATTTCCGATATATATTTACTACAAAGCGAAAGTATGTTTTGAATCCGAAATCTGTTTATCAATTTCACGCTGCTCTGCGGCAGAGGGGGGGGCAGAAACGTCATTATTAGATTATGATAGATTAGAAAGATTATGTCAAATAGAATTTCCGATATATATTTACTAATATGTAATTTGTATCTACAAAGCGAAAGTATGTTTTGAAATCCGAAATCTGTTTATCAATTTCACACAGCCGATTGGAAGTTGATCAGTCAGCACTCTCCTTATCTTCAGGGCAGATGTTTTTATTTTATTTGGTTTATAATTCCGTACTAAGTGTAGTATTTCGTCTCGATCTACTCCGTCTTTGATATGATTGAAATCAAGTTCCTCGTCATTATAATTCGCTTCCGATAGTCAAGAAAGTGACCCAGAGGTTATTGAAAACGAAAACATTTCGATTGACAAATTCGGTATTCTCAACACAGCAATTATAGGACTTGAACAGCGAAACTTTGTAACTAAACAAGAAATTATGTCTGTTTAATAGAATTAAAGAGAAAGTATTATCACATGAAATGAAGCAACTTACATTGAAGGAAATGTTTAATAAAGTAAACAAATAAATATTAAGCTTTTTCTTTTTGTAAATTTTGATACCCTTTAGATCATAATTATTCTTTATTTCATAAATTACGGTTTCATATTTTTAATTTTGTAGTTTCTGCATGTTATCTTACCAGATTTAAATTGATGATCTATAATCCGGAAAAATCGATAATCCGGAATCGCCGAAGTCCCGACGAGTCCGGATTAACGACTTTCGACTGTATATGCTATATAGCGGCTAGAATAGTACTCTGTTCTAATGTAGGAATGTCTATGTAAAGAAAGAAAGATTCCATAAACGTAATGTAAATCAGTTTGCTAGAGTGCCGTTAGAAAGCAAAGGCAAAAACTCACCAAGGGATTTGGCGATGGAACCTGACGCCGAGAATCTCCCCCTCCGTGATGTGTGCAGGAAATTGTGGAGCATGTGTTTAAGAAGAAACGTTCTTTGACCTTTGCGATAATTTATACTCAGATTTTCATACTTTTTTTTTTTTTTTTTTTTGGCTGAAAATTGTTAATCTATAAATTAATTTATTCGCGCAAAAAATATTTTCTTTTCCTTTAAAGTTCAAAGAAATTTAAAACGGTATTCGTTTTATGGACTCTTGATAAACTTGACCTTCGAACTTCGTGAGCTTCGGCGACAGCTATTTCGCACATATGCAGCTGTTTCCCTCTACGTTGGGACAGAGCCATTCCTGTTGCAGAGACGTTTTTTTAATCTTAACAATACATATTTTTTTATTCTAACCTCCATGTTCGGTACACATGGGATTTGGCGACATTATGATGAGCAGTAACACAACAGTTACCTATGTCTCTTAGTCTCTGTTTAAAAAGGTGTTGGGTAGTAAACCGGTCATTTTGGTGTTGGCGGCAGTGTTTAAAGTTGTACAAAGTCCGTAGCAAAGACTAGGATTTTACCGCATAATCTTTTAAACTTTTTATTTTTTTCATTTTGCAGTAAAATAAAAAAAATAGTAATCAGTCGTCTAGGCTAATGTTTAATAGTTACCAAAATAGCATTGATTATTGTAATTCAATTTTTAAGTAATTAACTTAATTTTAATTATATTTATATCATTCAATGTTCTTCTTTCCTTTGAATATATTTATTACAGTACAAAGTCTGTAATCCGGACGTCCATTATCCGGAATGATCTATAATCCAGACCTCAAAGCCACAAACTCTTTTTTTTTTTTTTTTTTTTTTTTTTGGTATGCTTTACGCATGCATGTTTAATGTTACTCATGCGCATTTAATGTTTATGTATGCACGTTCAGCACAAAAAATGAAGCAACTTAAACAACTTACATTGAAAGAAATGTTTAATAAAATAAACAAATAAATATTAAGCTTTTTTTTTTTTAATTTTGATACCCTTTAGATCATAATTGCTCTTTATTTCATAAATTATGGTTTCATATTTTTAATTGTATAATTTCTGCTTGCCATCTTACCAGATTTAAATTGATGATGACGAGTCCTAATTATGGACTTTGTACTGTATTAGTTAATTATACTTTCAAATTTCAGGCAAATTTCTCAGGCATAATTCTGAAACTAAATCTAGCAGTATGATGACATACTATCACAAAATTTAATGCATATATTTTTGTTTTTGTATGCTGCTAAAAAATATAAAATACCTGAATTTATTTTAAAATATCATTAAATAGATTTCTTTCTTTTGTTTAGCTGTTCTGTAAAAAAACTCATTTTTTAATCCAGATTGGGCAGATTCTAATCTCAATTTTCAGTGAACTCCTATTATAGCTACTTACCATAATTAATTTACCTCTCAACGCAGCCAGTGCGCACTATGTGTGGATAGACTGGAATTTTCTCAAAACACACCTGGAAAAGTCGGGGAATTTTATTCTCTTTAAGTGGCAACCCTGTTACTCATAACATGAATTTTAATAACATGTCGTTTCTTTCAAATCTTAACCAAAAGGAAAGGGAGATCTTGCATAAAATTCATTCTAATTTCTAAAGCTGATAAAGACAGACAAGTCATTGTGATGGAATCTCAAAACTGATACATAAAGGCCCATACTGCTGAATATTCCCTAAAGATCCTTTAACTTCTGACTTCAGAAAAGTCAAAATAGCTGTTAAGTCTTCTCATGTACTCCCAAAAAAAAACCTCATTCCAGCTATTGCTAACTGTGCTAGGCTTTCTGCTCTTCCAAAGATTCACAAAGTTGGAATTTCTTTTCAGCCTATAGTTTCCAACTTAGGAATGACTTCATATCCTTTGGCTAAATATTTATTTTGCAGATTTTCTCCTTTACTTTCTAATTTCACGCTTTAAAAAATTCTTTTGAACTCATCAATAAGCTTAAAAATATTTCTGCCTTGTGCTTCATTATGTTTCTTTTGATATTAAATCTCTCTTTACTTATGTTCCAGTCGAAAGAGTACTGAGATTTTTTGGAAAAGGTTTGGAGAATTCCATTTAACACATACTGAAACTGAAGAGTTAATTTCTCTTGCTAAAGGCTCTTTGAGTCAAACCCACTTTGTTTTTCGAAATGAATATTATTGCCAAATTGAAGGAGATAATGAGTAATCTTTTAAGTTCTTTACTTACTGACATTGACTTTATTTGAGAGAAACTATCTATTTGTCTCTGGATTCACTACATTGATGAGACTTTAGCAGTATGAAGAAGATCTATCCCAGACATTATCTGTAATATATTCAATTAATCCAGCCATCCAGTTCACTTTTGAAATTAAATCTGACTATAAGCTTCCCTTACTTAATATTCTTATAAGCCTCAATGAATATAATTTCAGTCCACTGTTTACCATAAATCCTTGACTGTCTCTCCATTCTGTATTGTCATCTGGCTAAGCAAAAATTGGCTTCTTTTATTTATTTTGTGCTCTCAAAGTTTGTTCCTCAGCCTTTGCTTGCTAGTGAACACTGCTATTTCAAATCATTTGTCATTCACCGAGGATTTTACTCCATAGTCATTGCTAAATGCCTTTCAGAAATTTCCATATTGCCATCAAAGAAGACATTCTGCTGTCAGAAATAGCAGTAATAAACTTGCTGTGCTTCCATTTCATCAGCTATAAAATTGTGCAAATTCTCCAATTTTCAAGCCTATCGATAAAATCCATGGTTCAATTTTTAAATTCCATTTTTGACTTTATTTTAGGGGTATTTAAAGCATATCTTATCAATCTGTTTTGGGATACATTGACGAAACTAAAAGAGCATTAACGTTTCGTATTGAAGGCTATGAATCTTATATCTGAAAAGGCGAAATTAGCAGTTCTTCAGTAGCTAATCGTAGTTGAAAATTTTAATAATAATTTTCACTTTGGGTCTACAAAAATTATCCAAAAAGCTTCTTCAATTGGTGAATTGGATTTTCTGGAAATTTTTCATGTTCACAAAGATTTATCTTGTTTACTTAATGAATCCAGTCCAGTGCTTCCTAACACTTTTTTAATTCTGTTAACGTAATTTTTCGGTTTTCGTTATTATTTTTGTGGATAGATAATACTACCACCTTGTCCGCTTTACTGCTGCAGGGTATAAAAGCATGTGTCACCCTTTCTGCTTTCTCGTCTTGCAAAAAGATGCTTCTTTTCTCCTGATGAATAGGGACTTGTACCTGTTTGCCATCGAAGTTGAGTTTTTGACTAAATCTGTGCCAAACGCAAGGTTGTTGCTTTGCTAATTTTAATATTTTAAGGAATTTTTGTTTCCAGTTTTGTAGCAGTTTTTTGAAATTTCTTCTCTTACTCGACAAAATGTTTTGCTAAAAAGTAGGTAATTTGAATAACATTTCTCAGATCTTTGAACAGAATCCTAATGAAGCATGTGAGATAGATTAAATGACATTTACAAGACTGCCGCATTGTTCATCATCAGTGATTTATCGCAGTAATGTTCTTTTGGGAGAACAGAAGGCCAATTTGACAGTAGTATTCAAAATTTAGTGTAAAACCTTTAAAAAAGAGTGTTGGCTGTTTTAGAAAAACAAGGGAGATGTAATATTTCATATTAATGTATCTGAAAGTATAAATAAGCCACTCTCTTGATTTTTGGTCATAAGCTGTACAATATCGTGTGACAGATCTAAGACTTATTTAAAGTGCATATTATGTTTCTAAAAGTATGATGTTGAAAAATGTATCCTTTTTATTCACATATTCGTCCCCCCCCCTTCATTTTTAGGTTATAATTATTGAAGAAAAGAATGATGATGGCACCTGGCCCAGGCAAGTGAAAAGGTATGTTAAAAACTTCTGGTTCATCTATTCTGTCATGTTCTGACTTATGTTTCAAATGCTTTGTAATATTAACTATTTGAAAAAATTTTTGTAGTACCAGTGCAGCACTTGCTTATACCAATTCTACTAGTACTGGTGCTGGTGATACAAGGCCTTATAATAACCAAACAAATACGATGTAAGTATTTTATGTTATATTCTTAAAACATTTTCCTTTCTGAAATTTGTATCCATGATTAGTTTTCTGAATTTGGGTCCTAGAAAATTTTGAAATAATATTTCTCATTATGCAGTATTTAGCTGAAATTATAAATTGATTTATAATTGTCAGTTAATTGGTAATTGTTATATTTGTGATTACTACATTGTAACATTATTTCCTTATAGGAATTTCTTTTCATACAAATTTTTGATGGAAAAAGGAAAAACTGTCAGTTCAACTTTGTCAGTATAGGATTCACTTAACATGACAAAATTTATTTATTTTGAGTAACTGCACGTAAAGAAGATACTCACTAATATATCGTAGAATTTAAATTGCGCCATATAAAATATGCCACCATCGTTGATGCCAAAGCTTCTACAAATGCATTCTGAAGTTGAAACGAACTGGTTTAGACAACAGAGGAAATATGCACATAAAGAAGAGACTCGCTAATATATCTGTCATGTTGTTTTGTTTTGGTTCTTTTCATTCCTGTCATCCATTTTCGTAATCCAATAATGGAACTTCCTTCATACATTATTTTATTTATATAAAAGAAGTAATTAATTATGTTACAAGATATTTACATATGATTAACAGTACTTAATGTCAATTGGAGACGTTTACGCCTGCATACTATTGTGTAGTTCTATAAAAACTTACGATGAGTGCACGCCTGTGATAATCTTGCAGATTATTTGGTTAGAATAATCTCCATGTATGGTACTACAGGATTTGGCGACATGATGATGAGCAGTAAACGAGTCATCATGGTCTTGGCGACAATTTTCAAAATCGTGCCCAAGGGCTTACCGTATACTAGAATTTTACCGCAAAATCTTTTTAAACCTTTTTTTTTTTTTCTTTTTCTTTTTAATAAATACCTTGTCATTTTGCAGTAAAATAAAAAAATAGTAATCAGTCATCTAAGCTAACCATGTAATATAACTATATTTGCTAAAATATCTTTGATTATTCTAATTCAGTTTTTAAGTAATTATCTTTATTTTTATGTTATTCGTATCATTTAATGTTGCTTCTTCCCTCTAAATTTATTTATTATTAATAAATAATTCCAAATTTCATGAAATTAATTCTAGCAGTATGATGACATACCATCATGTGCAAAGTAAATATAAAATACTTCAATTTATTTAAAAAATATCATTAAATAGATTTCTTTTGTTTAGCTGCAGAATGTCTGCAGAAAAAGCCTTATTTTATTCCAGATTGGGTAGATTCTAATCTCAATCTTCAGTGGAGAAAACAACTTCTATTATAATTATATTTGTGTTTTTAAGTGTTAAGGTGCCTTTTAAGAAGACACCTCACACAAATTAAATTTACCTAAAATCTAACCTAAATATTTAGCATTGTGTTGTGATTTATAAAGACCGGGTTAGCCTCGTGTTGAACTGGTGATGATCATGAGTAATAATTAAATAAAACATACAATTGTTATCCAATGTATATACTTAAATTTTATTAAGTTTCTTAAGTGGAAAAGTAAACAAAATTATCAAACAAAGTATACCAAGAATAATTAAGAATAAATGTCCTCTGGGATTTATTGAATAATTAAGTGAATTTGCTACACAGTACAAGTAATCCATAATTAATTTACCTCTTAGCACAGCCAACGTACATTACGCGGATAGACTGGAATTTTCTCGAAACACACCTGGAAAACATGGAAAAGTCAGGGAATTTCATTCTCCTGTTTGAGTGGCAACCCTGTTTACGGCCTCAAAATGTTAAGTTTCCGGTTTCCTCTTCGCATGAAGTTTTACGACACACATCAAGATTCAAATTCAGGTCTTCTGTTATCATATGCACAGTTACACTATGGTCTTCTTCCAATATCTGCCTTACAGGCTCCACGTTTGCATCAGTATGCGCTGTAGATGGGTGACCAGCTCTGGGATATCTTGTGCTGAATGTCTGCCTTCATGAGACCTTTTGTGGCACTTGAAGCCACAACTTCTTGAAAGTGCCTTACCTGCATATGCTTGCTTATTCATGTCCCGTGTTTCATTAAGGGTTTTCCCGAGTTTAACTTAGAACTTAACATTCACTCTTTGCTCCCAGTTAGCATCCATTGACCTTAATGAATGCAACAACAACCTGAACTGTGTGTAGCTGAATACAGCCTACTAAATTTGCATGGAAACATGGCCAAGGTCATGTCAAGTAAGAACACATACCAGGTAACATAAAAGCAACATTTGTTCCTTTTTAGTATTGCAAACTCATAAATTAAAAAAAAAAAAATGTCCTAGATCGTTTCTCACAAAGGGTGTATAATTCCACTAAAATTATTTATATACAGGGCACATAGGAAAGTACCTTTAACCTGAAGATTCTTGCAAATGGAAAGAGCTATAGCTATACAAGTGAGGTAATTGTATAGTAAAGTGACTATGCCTGCCTAATGTAAGTGACAGCTGTGCCCCTAGCGGCGAAATTTGGAAGATAGGCATTGCTAATCAAAAACAAAAAGAGATAGAGCAAAATTTCCAATTAGAAGGTTTTAAAGCATCAATTAATAAGTATGAAATGAGATTAGGTTCAGATGGATAAGATAAATTGTAACATATATACCCAAAGATGTCCGCAGTTTATGCACGGTGATTTTTCTCTGCATATTCACATATTGAAAATGTAGTAATGCGCAATTGCAGATTGTGACGTTGTACTGTAGTGTAATATCTGTAAAACTTTCATTTTAAATGCATTTAAAATTTTAGTTTAAAAAGTGTTGGCTCTCACTTCATACAAACAGCATAATCTCAAACCTCATTATGATCTCAATGGCGGACAATAATATTAACTTGCTATCAATGTGTGACAGTTTGCTTTTTTATGTGTGTTATCGAATTATACTGATGTTAGTATTTTTTACAATAATAAAAAATTGCATGTTTCTTAATACCTATATCTATTCCTTTCAAACGTTTACACAAAATGGAGTTCATCGATTGTGAACATCTTTTTGGGTAAACAGGCAACAGCTTATCTTATCCTTGTGAACCAAATATCATTAATGCTCTAAAACTTTGTAATTGGAAGTCTTGCTCTGTCGTTTTTCATTATCAATTTGCAATGCCTATCTTCCAAATTTTGCTACTAAGGACACTGCTGTTGTTTATATTAGGTCAGGTGTAGTTACTTTACTATACCATTACCTCACTTGCATAGCTGTAGCTCTATCTGCTTGCAAGAAATTTCAGGTTAAAGGGCTTTTCTATGGAACCTGTATGTATAAGATGTGTAATATTGCCCCCTTCCCAAGTGTTGCGCATAGCAAGCATTATAATCCCTGTATAAGTAGCCATACTTACAACTAAGGAAAATCGGAGCAATACTAAAACAATGATTTCAATAAATAACAAACCAAACACTGAGTCAAATGCATAAATTTCCAAATTTATATACAAATAGGATATGGTTTTATAGTATACTGTTTGCATTATATACACTTGGGGGACTTCATGCTATGGCCATACTAAGGGGCAAGCCTGTCATAATGAATGAGTTTAGGCTTAAAATTTGATAACCTATAGATCTGAACTACAGTGTCATTTGACCTGTGTAGGACTGTAGAAGAAAGTAGTAGTGTAGTTTAGAAGATCGGATTTCATGACTGCACCTTGTAACCATCGCTGAATCGATACCCTGTAGTTCTTCTGTCATATCAAGTCTTCACCTTCTCTGTCGCCAAATTTTTCATCACTTCAAACTGCGCTTGAAGATCTCGAAAGTACAGTGCATAGAAAAAAAAAAAGGAGACGGTTCTGTATCTCCCATTCTACTGATTCGCTTGACAAAATTCGAGTTGCGTTTTTCGTGTCTCGACAGCTCGACTATATGTATTAGATTTATATATAGCATTGTTCTAATATAGTTATTTTGACTCAAAATCGGACTTTTTCTGAAATAACATGGCAATTTTTTTACATATTTCAATTCTACAACTCAAATTATGCCAAACTGCCAAGTTTTGTAAAAATCGCACGAGTAGTTTTTAAAAATTTAGCTCTTCAACGTTATTTAATTTGATATGTATTTGTTAACCCTTTCAGGACGGGCGTCCCATATACGCATTCCCTAAGAACGTCTCTTACAGCCGGGCGTCCCATCCACGCATAAGTAAATATCGTATTCAGAGGGCGGGTGATGCGTATATGCATTTTAAGGTGGAATGTTTTTCTGAAGGCCACTAGATGGCATCCTGTGTCCATTACTTTTGAAAAGAACACAGTTTTAGGTTCCTGACCTTGAGTTTGATATATTCTGCTTGACTTTGGTATTTTACTTATCACTTGTTTGAGGGTGGGGGGTCGGAGGGAAAGCCGTAAACAGAGGTGGGCTCTTTAAATCGCTGCGTGCTAATGAAAACATTCTCATATCTGATTTATATCCAATTCCTTTTTTTTTATTCTATTTTTTCCTCTACCATGTACGGTCTTTTAGGGTTACTGTGTGGAGTTTTTTTTTACGTTTTGCATTGCCTTCAGATATATTTTTCTACCTTCTTTTTTTTATTTAGGAAAGTCTCACCTCCAGTCTATTATGGCGGGAAGGTGCTATTTATGAGAGGAAGAATACCCTCGTATGGTTAGTGAACCATTTACTAACGCAAATGAGAATACTGATTCATTTTCTAAAGAGTTAAAAAGTGATACTTCTCTGTGCTTCGAGATTTACCACACTCATTTCATTTTAAATTTTTACTTCTTACTGTAAAATAGTCTTTATTGTGTTCTTTTTATTAATTTTAAATTTTATTGATGGATTTTATCAATTAAAACGTTGGAATAATTTGAATAGCGCTTCTGAAAATTATTTTAGAAGATAAGCAATTTTTTAAGTATATTTTCATGTAAAATAAAGAAAAAATGTTTTAATGGCTAATTTTAACATATATAAGAGCTCAAGTAATAATCTAAAATGATACCAAAAACTACGATGCTAGAAGCGAAACTTTTGTTTTTCTGCTTTTTGTTATAAAATTAGGCTTAGCGATGCAAAACCTCCATCCTGTACGGTGACTGCCTTCAATTCTCTTCCGTCCCACGCGAGCGTCTTAAACAAAGGTGTGCCGTCGTGAAAAGATTAATATCTCATTTTTATTAAACTTCCTTCATTCCTTGCGGTTTATGCACTTTATGAAAATTTCTTAAAAGTATGAATGATGACTTTTTTCTGCTCATGTACAACGATGAAAAGGAAAAATAGTTTGCTATAAATTAAGAAGTTTGCCAAGTGAATTATCGCAAACTGAAGAAAAGTGACAAGATAGGTTTTGGAATTTCTCCATAAATTTCGCACCAAATTTTACAAAATTTAATATTTAGCCATAATTTGATTTATAAAATTGAAATAAGGAAAAAATTGACATGTGATTTTATAAGGTATTTCTCTTGCCTTCTTGGTGTAGTGGTCTGCACACTCAATTATTGCCTATTGAGAGGTTCGATTCCCGGCGAAGACGTTGCTAATTTTTCATTTTGCCTGCTTCCAAAAATACCTAATGTCTCTACAATTTCAGAAAAAGTCTGATTTTGTGTCAAAATAGCTATATGAAAACAATTGCTATATATAAATCTAAACTATATACTAAGGCGTGCTTTCGAGACATTAAAAATGCAATTTGAATTTCGTCAATTGGCCCAGTAAAACGGAAGATATAGAGCTCTCCCCCTTTTATTTTTTTCACAATGTACTCCTCAGGTGATTAAGGTGCATCTAGAGTGTGACTGAACAAGAGATCACATGGCAGACAAACGTCTCAGCTAGAAGGCATCTGGAATGAAAAATAATCAGTAGTCTTGTGGACAGCAGTGTAATAAGCCAGTAACAACAAGGATAACTTCTGGTCCAATTCCTGTTGGTTTCTGGGAACGATCAACAAGAGTTTGTTAAAGATGGTGTGATTGAGTCGTTTGGGTTCAATTACAATAATATGAGGGCTGGGAAAAAATGTTGCCAAGTTTGGCAACTTCTAGCAATTCCTCTCTAAATTTGGCGACAAAATTTAGTCTCCGAAACCATCACCAGGTTGGCTATACCTTGCTAATGTATCGAGATAGCCATTTACTCAGAGTTAAACAGCCTTGCGACTGTATTCTTACATTTCTAGCAGGCTTCACTATGTTAGATTTTCATGTGGCATTATGCAAAAGATACTACAGTTTTACATATCATTTCATTAAAATTATTTAAGTATGTACAAAATTCATAGCAATAGTTTCTGTATTATAATAGTGGAATTTCGTCTTGTTTGAGTTTGAGTGAAGACTTTTGATTCCAAACTTACTGTCTTTGTTTTCCATAACTTTTCCAGAATTTAAATGTTAAATGTATAGCTATTGTACTGATATTTTAGTTTCTTCCCCGAACTTCTCTTTTAAAAACCCTAATTTTCACTACTCGCATAATAAACTTATTTCTGAGAATTCAACAATCATGTTTTTCTGCCAAATTTCTCATCAGTATAAATTTTTTTGACAACCTTGGCATAGTTTAATTGTTAAAACTGCAATATCAAAGATGCTTTTATGTGCTTATAATAGATTTTCACTTTAATGAAAGGATTAAAACTAGAAATGGTATCCTTGCTACTTCAGAACCACATGTCCAGTTTGAATGCTAAACTACACTGGTATCATTAATTAAGGAAAAATCAAAAATGACAAACGCTAAAAAAGTTAAATGTAGAATTTAATGAGACTGACTGACAGTGTGCAATAAGCTATAAAGTAACATGAGAAGAAATTGCCAGGCAATTATGGTGTTATAGAAATTAGCACATGTATAAAATGAAAAATTGGATGTGTCAGTGTGGTATGGAAAAATTACCTTCAATGGAGTATAACCTGCCCTAGAAGCATTACTACAGCAATGTACAATGCTGTCAATTATGCAGTCCGTAGGAATCGAGAGTGATTGCTCTTGCAAAGCAGTTGCAAAGGTCTGAAGAGGAAGTCTGAGAGCAGCTATAAGTCTTCTTAAAGCATCCCAAACATGCTCGAGGTCCGGTGATCAAGCTGTTACTCCATGTGCTGAATTGTTTGCTGCTGAAGATAATCAGCCATGATGCGAGTCCTGTGTTGTTATGCTGTAGCAGGAAATCATCACCTATTGTACCTGCATATGGGTGCACATAAGCATCAAGGATATTATCTCTAAAGGCCTGAGCATTCATGGTTCCACATGGAAAGACATGGAGGTTTCTGCATCTACCCAAAGAGATACCACTCCAAACACAGACACTGCATCCTCCATATTCATCTCTTTTGCGGATGTTTGATAAATGATTATGGGTTCCAGGTTCTCTAAAAATCAAAAAGCGCCCACTGTTGCTTTGGAGGTTAAACCTGGATTCGTCAATAAAGAAAATAGCCCTCCATTGATTAGCTGTCCAATGGACATGCCCACCTCAAATGTTCCCTTCTATAATGTGACAGTATGCAAATGGCTGGTTGCCTCGCTTACAGACCACCTTCAGGAAACCTTCTACGCACGGTTGACACCAACCTTCCAGTGGCTGCAGCAATGCAGGGTTGGAGTTGAGGTTCTGTTCCTTCATTTGCATAACAACAAATATCGGTCATCAGTGCTTCTTTTAGCAATTAGCTGTCCTAGGCTTAACCTCCCAAATGCCGAATCTATGGTTAGAAATTTTTGCCTAAGTCAATGAACCTCAGGAGGACTCGCATTTAGCCATCTGGCTTCTTTGCCATGCCTCTAGTCTCCTAATAGCTCTCACTTACAGTTCTTTGGGCAACTGATGCTTGGAGGACATTATTACAGCCAGACTTTTTTTTCTCAGTATCAGAGCAAAATTTGCAGCCTTGCCTCTGAAACATCCAATTTTATGCTCCTCGCAGATGGCGTATTTTGATTGCAGCATCACTAATTTGCATACTGCAGTTTTACTCAGCAGTTCTTATTTGATAGCATATCTTAATTTTACATAGATTGGTATATTTTTGAATGAGTTATTGCTATTTTCGTGATTTTACCACCAGTGTAGCTGTGTCATTTTCATAAGAAAGTTTCATTTTATATCACCTTTGGTACATTTAAGAAAATCCTATAAGTTTTTCTTTTTTTGTTTGATTTGAAATATTTTTGGAAATTTTTGCAACTGTTGTATAGTACGAAATTAAAATGTTTTGCTGTATTTTTTCTACTAAAGTAGTAATATTTAAAGTACTTTTAGCCTAAATAATGGCATACTTTATTCCATGAAAAACGTTTTAAAGTTTTATGGTAAATTTTGCTGTGGTATATTTTTTTGTATAATGAATGATGTGATTTCAATGTAGAATTTCCTTTTTGTACAGTATTTGGTGTTTCTAATTTTTTTTTTTTTTTGTAATTTTTGTTTTTAAGTTGTCAAGGACTGAAATCATGTAGGGGTAATCTCTTAGCTCTTTGAAGTGTGTGTGTAAATTTATTTATATAGGAATTTGAGTTTGTTGTTTCATTTTTATAATTTTCTTTTTTTTCACTGTGTCAAGAGGAACAAAACGCGTTTTCAGTACTTGTTTGAATTTTAATGTTTGAAATTATTACCCCCTAATGAGTAGATTAAGCATTAAAATATAAGTAATTTGCATCTTTAAATTTCGGTTTCTCAGTTTCATAATTTAAAGTTTTTTTTTAAAATTCTGTTTATTTTTACCAGTTTGCTTATTACGTATACAGCTGTAAAATTTAATATCGCACTGTTTTTTCTATATCTTAAATTTCAAATTGAATTTTTCTTAAATTTTCCAAGATAGTATATTTTTGCTTCTAATTTTTTTATGTATATATACACACGCAGACACTTATTGTAAATTTATATTATTTAGTCTCATATTTTTTTAATATTTTCTTTAGTGCCACCAGGAGTTATAGTAGTGTTGGATATGGTAGTTCTAGTTATGGTTATGAGTACCATACTGGTAATACATGTAATGTGCAGCCTGGATTATGTGGATTAAGTAATTTAGGAAGTACATGTTTCATGAATTCAGCTCTTCAGGTAAATATTTTGACTTTTAGGGAAACATCATCTCACAGTTCCTTTAACTTTTGAAACTAGAAAAGCTAATCAAAAGATTTTACTTACACTTAACTGTAGTGTCTTAAATTAATTTCATATTGATGTATTTATCATTTTGCTTAAAGTACAGAAAATGCAATATTAATGTATGTAAATTATTTTAGTGCATGAGTAATACGCCTCCTCTTGTTGAATACTTTTTGCAAGATCGATATTGGGATGAACTGAATAAAGAGAACCCTCTTGGCATGCAAGGGGAAATTGCAAAATCATTTGGTGAACTAATAAAGAACATGTGGTGTGGACGATATTCATACACAGTACCCAGAAATTTTAAGGTATATTTTTTTCTAATGTTTAATAATTTCAAGCATATGAAAGGTTTTGGGATGCATTTTAGTGATTCCTCTTTAATGGTAAAGTTAGTGTATATGCAAATAAATATTAGCAGTTATGTTGGAAACTGTATTTGTTTAATAATGATTTCTGGAAACATTTTAATATTTCTTTTTAAATGTTTGACTGGATAAAATTTATGGGGGAAAATATATTTTGAAATTCTTGTTTTTTATTTAATTAACATTAACTCATATAAGTAAAAGATTTGTATTCATTACTTCATGAGTCCTTCACTGAAGAATTTGTAAATAAGTATGTTAATGTGTGTAAAGTTCTTTATGGAATTTTTATGACCTTTTAGGTAATAAACTGAGTGCCTTGTTAAAATAGTGGCTGAAAAAGTTAATGCAAAATATTCACTAACGTTAAACTCTGTTTTCATTTTTTTAAATGCATATGAACAGAATGAATTTTTGAAAGTGCTGTACAATTTTTATTAAATGCAGAATATTATGAAATTTGTGGTAAACTTTATATTGTTAGCTGATGCAAATGAGAATTCATCTAATCAAAGCAAACTAGATTATTTTTTAATTAAAAGCTATTTTTTTGAAGATACCAGATGATTTGTAAAAATAAAACAGAAAATTTATGTATATGTTACCGTGAAAGATCAAAATTTGGAGAATGTCAACATTCACATAGTCACTTGGTTATGTCCAAAATATTTGCCGACTATCCTTATTTCTGACTTACACTGGCAAATGTCAAAATTCACCATGCACTGATGTTGAATAGTTCAGAGATTTTCATTTTGTTTTCCATATTTCGGGTGCTATAAAACTTAACAAGGGTGACGTAAGCCTGTCTTACTGAGACAAGTGACCAATCCAGATGAGGAGAGTTGCTCATAACTCTGTAGAGGCGTTTTCACTGCGGGAAATGTGGCATTAGATTCTAAACATCAAAACATTTTAATAGTCTGTAATCCAAAGATGTTCTGCACCTAGTTTTTGCAGAAATCACTTGAGAAAATATTTTTCTATTATTTTTTTACTATTTATTTTATTTTAGAGTACTTTTCTTGTGAAAAATAAAAAAAAAATTGTCTTCTTGTTTACTCGCAATTAATGCATTTAACTTTTCAAAGAAAAGTTCACGATTCACTGCAGTATCCATTAAATATAACTTAAGCTATCGGATAAAAAAAATTAATTTAAGAAAATGTTGCACGTACCATCAAGCCTTGCATATAAGACTGACATAGTTCCAGAGTATAATAAATACATGCCAAATAACACTTCAATCGCAGCAGAATGAACGGTTTGGCGATTGACCTCAACCTCTCTTTTCGACCTACAGCACGGTATATCTGGGATTGTCAACTTACACCGGTGATGGTCCGACTATACAAGAATATTATGAGATATTCGGTCTTTCACCGATGTATTTTGTATTTGTTGACATTCACAAGTGAAATGTCAACATTCTCCAGTTTGTCTTTTACAGTAACATACATATATATGCATGTATATATTACATATTGTCAAAATGAAGAAACACATAAGTGTAAGAGCACATGCTGTGATATTTGAAATCAGATTAACTAAAATCGACTAAAAAGAAATTAATTTGCCTACCTTAATTAGGGACACTTTATAACCATACCTTTGCATGAAGTATTATAAATATTTAATTTAATTATCAGGCACTTCTACCTTCTTAACATTTAATTGTTAGAAGTTTAACCTTCCAATAGTACACGGTAGAGTGCAGTCCTTTTGCTTTTCAAATGGTCAGTTCATAACTTTGAAATTCAGGAAGGTTTAATTGTTTTGTGATGACAGGACATTTCAACTCTGAATCAAGACACAGAAGATCTATATGTATCTTAAAGGTTTTGGAGGTGGCTCCACCCAAAAAAATGTAGCTTTTAATTGTATTTTAATGTTGGAGCAGTTTTTTACATAACGTAAAAATGTCGATAATTAAAAAAAAAAAGCATGTCAACGAAAAATATGCTGTATATTAAATTTGTATGCTTTTTGAAATGCATTACATATTATTTTGATAAAAGATTTAACATGAAAAATGCAGATTTAACATGCTGTCAAGTTATTTTAAACTTTCTGTTAAAGTGAAAATTTTTTACTTTAAAATCTAATCACTCCTTCAGTAATTTTGGTATTTTTTCATTTAGCCAATGCAGGCGATAAAAACGCCAAAAGTGGTACAACCGATGCCAAATGGAATATCCTCGCTGGTAACCTTTTGCACCTAATTTTCAAAAGAAGTTGCAGCCATTTTTTATCAGATTGATTGTTTCCCTCAATACTGCCATACAATTCCATAGAATTTTTACCAGATAGTTCAATTTTATGCCCTAAGACCATTTGTCGTAATTAAGTTAACTAGGATGCAGTCACATCGCTCAGCCGAAGGCGAAAATATAGGAAAAGCAAAGTGAAGGGTTAAATTCATCAATTCTAATGAGAATGCACT